TCTATGCTGTGGCGGGGACCGACACCTCCAGCAAGCGGTTGTTTTTGCGCTTGCAGGACGCGCCGTTGCCGTTCTTGGGGGCTCCCTGGATGAACTTGACGCACACTTTGTCCTGCTTGAACTGGACCAGAAACCTGGGAGGACACAACGATCGCGCGGGGTCAGAAAAGGTCATCCGGGACGATGAAAGGATACGCTGGTCCAAAACGCCATACAGGCGCCCAGCTTCACTTGCTCTTCTCGTCTCTCGAGTATTCAGATTTAGGCCCGACAGATTGGGATTTTTTTTTTTTTTTAATCATAATTTTTTTTATTAGCCAGATGTCAATTTGGATAATTGGCAGACTAAAATGCTGTTGAACGAATTAATCATCCGCTTAACGAAGAAAATACACATGGAATAAAATAATGAATTTTGTGGTCTCCAATAATTGCAGGCAGAACATTTGACAGTTGCACTTTGTCCGTTCGCAACGTGTTGAATGAAACGGACCAGACTTACTCATCGGTGATGTCGATGTTGAGCCGCACGCCGTCGTCTGAGGCGGTGGAGCCGATGTGATGGAGTTTGGTGATGGTCTCGATCAAGTGCTCGCTGCTGAGTAAAAAGTCTCCTTTGACGGCCGAGGCCGAACCCTGCGGCGAAATCACCGTCAAGCGACGCCGTCGGACATCTTGCCACCAAATTCCTACTTCGCGTTTTGGACTTTCCATTGAGGGTACTTTTGTTTTTGTTTTTTTTTTTTTAACCCACATGCTGTCAGTTGTATGACTTTTGCACGAGATCGTAAGCAAGTGAATAAGCGTACGTCAGCAAAAAGTTTTTGCGTCGTGCGTCTGGCGGGCCTCTCACCTCTCTGAGCTTGAGCGCAAAGAAGCCGTCGTTCTGCGTGCTGACCGACACGCTGGCGAGATCGGGCAGGGCGACGCTGGCCTTCACTTGGCCCGTCTTCTGGTCGGCCAGCAGCACGTTCTTCTTCGTCAGCAGCAGAATGCGACTCGCGCCCTGGAGGCAACACGCAAACGCCGTTACGCTGCATTCGAATCGAATTTGGCAAAGGACGACAAGAAATGTGAGGGAGGGAGGGAGTGGGAAATCATCAGGCAAAATGTTGGGATGCACCAAAGCATTCACAAGAAGGCCTCGGGCGGAAATTTTCCCCGGCACAAAAATCCACCGCGGCGGGATATTTCTTACTTTGCCATTGGCCCTGTTGATCTTGTTGACCACGTCGGCCAGCAGAACCTTTTCCTCCACGCAACTATTGAGCTTGTGATACTTGGGGTTCTTGCTGATCTCCAGGTAGTCTCCTTTGAAGGGCTGGCTCACGCTGAGACAAAAGCCACGTGGGGGGACTTGAGGGTGATGACTTGTCGCCAATCGACGGGAGGAGCCAAGGCGCACCGGTGAATTCATTTTCCCTACCTGCTTGGGTAGAGGGACTTTTTATCCTTGAAGAGCTCACTTGCCTCCAGCTTCTCTTCATACACGGCCTTCTTCTCCTCGGTGAACTGGCTTCTGTATTTCTTGCACTGAGTGTTAAAAAAAAAAGGGGTGGGGGGGACGCCAGGGACGTTGACAGGAGGGATTCACATTCAGTGCGTGTACACGACGGGGACCTCGATGAGTTCTTCTCCTGGCTGAGCTCTCTTTCGCTCTTCAAATCTCTCCATCCTCTTACATTGACTGCACTCACGCATTTCACCAACAGAGACTCTGCACGCTTCGCTTTATTCCTACAGGCGCATACGCTAGGAAATTCGAAATACACTTCGGCGGTGACTCGCGGGCTCCACTATGACGGGCTGGATCAACACGGGGTCACGTGACCCCGACATGGGAAGAATGCGGAATATCAAGGGAACGTGACCCACCCTCCAAAGGTGGAAGATTGTGCGCAGCTCTGTGTGAGCCGCATCCAGGAAGCGGTAGGGCCGGGCGGGCCAGCTCTTGTCAATGGGGGACATGGAAGGCAAGGTCTTCCTCAGACCCAGGAAGTATTTCTGCATCTACAAGAGGAACCTAAATTGTCAGCTAAACTGCACATCAACATGCGGTAACGCCATCGCCGTTGAATGCGAAACGACACTTACGATTCTCTGGATGGTGAAGTTATAAATCTTTTTCCCTGCGTTTGCCCTGAAAAATTTCCTGTATTCCCTTCGGACCTATCAAAGAGAAAAGGCAGACAAAAAAACAAGATGATCACAAGCTGCCGCTTTTTCAGTTAACGGATGGGTGGGAGCGAAGGAATGAACGTCAAACTGCTGCAATGACATCAAATGAAAACGGAACAGTTAATGATGACGTTCACGGCAAACGACCTTCATGCCGACCTTAATAGTGGAAAGTGCTTGTGAACAGGTGCAAAGTGGATCGCGACGGGCGAGGTGAACAATTAGGATGATGAAAGATTAACACGGCAACAATGTCCACATGGATGCTTTTAGGCAACATGCGGAATGTCACACACACACACACACACAAGCACACACACACATACAGGAACACAAAGGACAGGTTAAATACAAAACAATGTCGCTTGACATGGGGTTAGTTGAATGGAGGAAAGACAGCAATAGAAGACAGCCGCAGCCCCGTGAGTCGAAAAGTTCTCCTGTAAGCTTTGTGAAATTCTGGCATCTCGAGGGCGGGGGAAAAAAAAAAAATAATAAGTGTACCAAAAATTTTGCAAAAGCTATTCGCATAGCAACCAACCCCCAGGGTACAGCGGAGATGTTTTTCTTTGGATTGGGGCGAAGTGACCCGGTAAAAGAGGAGAAAGCCGTTCTTGCGTGCTTTCATGAGGGCTGTATGAGTGGCACAGCTCAATGTTGGAGGAGAACTCGTCCCGAAACTGCCTCAAGGACTGCAAAGGAATGTGGCTTGGGATTGAAATATTGAGGGGAAAACCCCAACAACAAACAAGGCCACATGATGGGGCGCTGGTGTGAGGTCTAATAAATATATTTGAGTAGCTGACATTATACAATCATAACAGAATGGAAAACTACGGTTGTCAGTCGATAATACGGACAATTGGGACATCCCAACTCAACCATGTGTTGTTTCACAATTCATGTGTCTTTGTTGCTTAAAGTGTTCAGGTTACTGCCACATTGATCAGACCGTCATTTCCCATTAAGTATTAGCACTAGCATTAAGCTAGCAGGCCGAAAGGCGAGGCTTTGCGGTCGTTTGAAAACCACAATGTGGAATTCCCTTTGTTTGATGTTTAGTTTGACAGTAAACATCAACTGTGAACTTGAAGTTTGTTGTGAAGTGAGTTGTGTTCAAAAAAAAAAAGGACCAAAGGCTGCTCAGGTCACTTGTGTCCCAAGGGCACCACTGCATATTTTGACATTGCGTTCAGGGGAAGAACGGCATTGCGTAAAAAAAAAAACATCTGCGCGAGGGCAGAGACTGGCTTCTGGAATGCGGACACACACGCTTGACGGAGACGTGAGGGGCCAATGGCGGAATGGGGGTTTTGGTTAGTAGTTGGTAGGCTCGGTGATGGCTTGGCCTGAGGGCTGCCAGGTACCTTTAGTCCCTGCCAGCAGGCCCAAATCACAGCGACAGCATGCTTACGTCGGGCCTCTTCCTTCAGTCTTCTCAGCTCCCTGCGAGCCTGTTCAAGAGGCGGGCGAGGACACAAAACAAGGGGAGAACAAAACCAAGCGAAAGGAGTTGAGCAGGGAAGGAAAAAAAAAAAAAAGGCACCGCCATGTTGCTTGAGGTGAGCAAACATCAAACACTGCATCCAACACTGCACACACACACACACACACACACACACACGCGCAAAGCCCGTGTGGCCGACTGCTTCACCCTCAGAAACAACAATTTTATGACGCTGACAGTCAAACAATTACTTTTTGAGGAGTTTCTGCAAAGGAAAGGGATGTTCAAGTTTTGTCATGGAGTGATCATCAAGCGCTTTTGTCAAAATGCCGACAGAAAAATGTCACTGTAAGGCCTCCAAATTGGTCCTGTGGAGAAAAAGGACGACGGCACAGCAATGCAGAGAGAAAGTAGGCATTGGCTACCCCCCCCCCAAAAAAAAAAAAAAACATTGTCATGCGGATGCGTGGCATGCAGAGTTGAGTGGACGAAGGGGATTTGTGCTGAAAACACAAAACATGAGTTCCAGTGGCGATAAAAAGTCGACAGCGTCCGAATTCAAATGCCAATTTTTGGTGATTAGACCAAGTCCAAAACTTCCAAACTCCTTTTTTTTTTGTGTGTGACCTCTAACCTACGCAACTGCCCGAGAGCCAAAGTTAAAAAACAGCTGAGATGTGCTTGCACATGTGGGCACACCCTCTGCTTACAACAGGGGATGTAACGGGCTTCGGAATTAACCAACTCCTTTCAAACTGGGAGGAAGCAAAGAGCTGCCACCCATTTTCAAGCATTTCCAAGGCATCAAATCTACCTCGGAACGTCGAAGACAGTCAAAGTGGAGAAAATATGGCACCGCTCAAAACTCACTTGAAATCATCAATAAAGACAAGAGCGCAATTTGTTCGGGAAGCCTGCCAAGAGGCTTCGCAGCAAGATTGTTTCTGGGAAGTGCCGGCGGCTGTTTAGTACATGTGACAATAATCTTCCGTTTTCTTCATCTTCATGTTGCAAAACATTTTAAAGGATGAGTTTTGGAATCGTGTATTTTTTCCGCAAAAACTTGGCATTTGAACAGGGGTGTGCAGACTTTTCATAGCCATTAAATGTGACATCGCTAGCGGAGACGTGGGCTTGGTTGGATTAGTTTAAAAAAAATAAAAATAAAGAATGGAGGTGGAGCAGGCTTGGCAGACTGATGGATATGAAGATGGCTTTTTTTTTTTTTGTGGGGTGAGGATGGAGGCGGCCAGTCACAAAGTCACTCCAAGTCAATGCAACAGGCTTCCCAAATACCTTGGTGCCCTGCCAGCCGGCCCAAATGACCGACACGGCGCGTTTATTCCTCGCCTCCTCCTTCAGTTGACGCAACTCCCTCCGCGCCTATGAGGAAACGGCGGTCGTGGCGGAGGAAGTTCGGTTCAGTAAAAGGACAGGGCAATTCGGCAATCGGCTTCGTGACTTTTGGAACCGGGGGGGGGGGGATGATAAACTTATCCGGCCGTAGAACAAAGACCTCAGAAAATATGATTGAACAGCATCGTTGATAAGTCGGATTTGATCTTATCAGATGGTTTGGAGACCTTGAAATATGAGTCTTGTTGATAAAGCAACCGCGGCAGATAGGAAAACTCATAACGTAAATGCTGATAAGATCTTGGTTTTTTTTTCTTGAAACCTTTAAAACTCATGTACATTTTCTAATATTGAAAAAAAAAAAATCCATATCCACAAGTCTGTGGGTGCCGTACGACAACTATGCAGCAGTCAACTAAGCTGCAATATCACTAATCACCACTAGATGGCAGACATGTCTTAGATGCACTTACGCTGGGTTTTATTCTGCCTAATACTACGTGTGGTAGTACACAGTACCTCAATATTATTTAACTTTTGAGGAAGATGACTTTTTGTACACCGAAGCATCCCTGACACAAATTATTATTTTTATTTTTTTCCAAACCAGCAGCATATACATCACCATAGTCTTCCCGAATTCATCATTAGAAAATGGGGTTTCCCTTTCGTGAGGTGGCAGCAACAGACATTCACAGCAACCTTACACAACATGACAAACTAAAGGCCGGCGAAAAACAAAAACGACCCGGTTGAGTGTTAATAAGACGAAGGAACAGGCCTGCCGCTCAAGTCACGAATGGCATTCGGTGAACAAGGATGACAAAACAGCCGGGACAGCTACACACTACGTCTGGGTGGAAATACCTTTGTTCCCTGCCAGTATGCCCAAATTACTGTCACAGCATGTTTATTCCGCACTTCTTGTTTTAGACGTCGCAGCTCCATTCGAGCCTGGAGGGGACGTGGGGCCGTTAGGCAAGAAAGAGAAGGGTGCGAGAAAAGGGAAGATTGAGAGATGGGGCGGGGGGGTAAAATATACGGAAAAAGGGCAGCTGTGAGATTGGCAGAAGAAGCGGCATCGAATGCATAGAGCAGGAAAAAAAAAAGTTGACTTGGAATAGGAAAAGCCCTTCAGCGTTTGCGCAAACCATCCGGTGACAGAACGCGGCCGTAAAAACGTAAATCGGTACCTGAGCGCCGTGCCAGTAAGCCGCAATGGTGGTCGCCGCCTCCTCGCACCTCTTCTGATGTTTCAGTTCTCTCAGCAGTTTGCGAGCCTAACGGAAAACACGCGAGACGGTATTTGCATGGTGCGCCATCATTTCTCACCCGCTTACGTTTGACGGACACGGACTGAAAATGGAAAAAAACGAATCGCACTACGACAGGGGTGTCAAACTCATTTTTGTCGCGGGCCACTTTGGAGTTACGTCTTGCCCTCTGCGGGCCGTTACGAATAAATGTTTACGTAATCATCTCATCTGTTTACTAGTTTTTTAAATCACTCAAGTCAACTATCTCTTTGTTAAATTAGGTTGAAAGTTTTTTTTCAAGACATTGGTCTCGTTTGGTGAAGAGAAAAACTCTTACCGAGCTGACAGTTTCGGCTGTCACTCCTGCCTTCGTCGAACCTGTCACTGCTTCCTCTTAAAAACAGCTATTTGTTTGTTTGTTTGTTCGATTATTGGTCAAGTGAGTGGAAACAGGCTAACAAAATGATTGCAACATTTCAACGTTATTTATAAGAGTCACAATTTGACATTTCAGGATAGACTTTAGCAAGGATCCTGGAAGTTGATACGTGAATTGCTTTTGCGGGCCACTTAAAATGATGTGGCGGGCCAGATCTGGCCCCCGGGCCTTGACTTTGACACCTGTGCACTACGAGATGACAAGTTGAGAGATTGCTCGATGACTAATCTCAGAGTCAAACTTTGAAGCGAAACATGTACGACTTTATTCTCATAAGCGACCAGCCTGCGCTGCATTTATTATTATTATTATTTATTTTTTTGTGGCCCTAATACTCATTTTTACCTCCAGTTGCCTTTTGATTGAACAACAAACAAACAATAACAAGAAAAGAAAGACTTGGAAGCCCACCTGCCATCCCCGAGTGTATGACTGCACCACGGTGGTGGCGCTCTTGATCTTCTGGTATTTCTTTTGTTGCTGTCAGGCGGCAAAGGGAAAATGAGCAAATGCCGACTTGCATCGTTTCGGCGCCCGCCGCCCCGATGGTTCGCTCACCGTGTAGCGCCGGTACCACGCGGCGACCACAATCTGACTCTTTTTCAGCAACAAGAAATGAGTGCGGCACTTCCAGCCACGGTAGATTTTCTGAATGAGCGTGGCCAGGTCCTGCAGGCACTGCCGCCGCCTTTCCTCTAAGAAAAACAGCTGCGAGGAAGAGGAGGGCAGGGGAGAATAGGTTGTTTGGACCACGACAAGACAAACAGACACTCTGCTTCTGCATGTATTAAAAAAAAAAAAAAAAAAAAAAAAAAAAAAGGACGATAATTGCTTGAAGTGTGCGCCAAATATTGAGAACTACTTCGACTTTTCACTTTACAGTGAGTTTGGGCTTTTGACACTCACGTTGTAAAGTGCAATGTCTTTTACACCATCTTGATGCTGCAGAAAGCAATGTTTATCTGGGAGCAAATATTGATTCAGTGATATGAAGAACAAAGTCCAAGCGCCACCTTCTGAAGGGAGCAGAATGCCGCTTTACGGCTTGGCCCGCGGCAAAATAAAAAAAAAAAAAAGAAATGAATCACCGATCTTCAGCTGCAACATGAATATCTTATGGGATATTATCTTGGGTTCATGATATCACTGTTATATTGCCATTACTCTGGCAACGATATCATGTTGACACTTTTTTTTTAATGTTAACAGGAATGTGCAGAAGCCTTGAGAAAAAAAAAAAAAAAAAAAAGCAGCCAGTGGCCAACCTTTTCTTTGCCCCGGACAACCCCTCCGACATTTTACAATCCCATTTGAAGATGGTTAAGGTCATTTCTATTCCCTTTCGGTGGCAGGTTGTGTAAGTGCTTGCTACGAAATGACATTTTTTCCAAGTATTTTGAGCGAGAGAGGAAAAAAAAAAGCACTAAATTGTGCTGCTCGAGTCGTTAAAGAGGCTACTCGAGATGCTCATTTCCCATGGAAGATGGGAGGGCTAAATGGAAGCATGTGTTTGGATGAAGGCAAAACATGAAGTAGGGGGGGCCCGGAACGGCGCCACCCCTACAAACATTGTGCAAAAACGGCCGAGGACAACTTTTTGATATTCAGGCACATATGGGCAAAGCGCACACAAGTGCGGCGGTGGGGCTTCACGCTTGCGCCGTGAGTTTTACCGTTCGTGGATTCCTGATGAAGATTTTGGAGCGGCCGTAGGAGAATTCTTCGGTGGGAACCTGAAGATCGGCCATGAGGACTTCGACTCCCTCCCTGCGGGAGGGACGGTGGGGGAAATGAATGTTTAAAACGCTCGTCGCTCAACTCAAATGTATTTATAGAGCACTTTAAAAACAACCAGAGCCGAATACAAAGTGCTGTACATGGAGCAAAAATAACCCGTAAAACAAACAATAAATTCATAACAGACAGTGTAAAGCACAAAAACAGTCAAACTAAAAATAAGTCAAAAGCCAAACATTTTTTTAAAAAGAGTTTTAAGACGGGTTTTAAAGGTGGACAGCGAGGGGGCTTGCCGAACGTTCAGCGGGAGGTCTGGTCCGCAGAACTGGAGCGGGGGTGCAGAAGCTCCAAGAGGTAAGGTGGGGGCTAGGCCACTTAAAGATTTGAAAACAAAGTCTTAAAAAGGACTGAAAGGACGCCAGAGTAGGAGTGATGTGCTCCCTCTTACGAGTACCAGTCAAGAGCCGAGCAGCAGCATTTTGGACCAACTGGAGACGCTTCATGGAGGATCGGCTGACTCCAAAGTCAAATGTGTTACAGTAATCCAGCCAAGGAGTGACAAAGGCGGCTTCTTTCATCTTAGGCAGCCGCCTAAGATGAAAGAATTTGACCACGGCACCAATTTGCTCAGAAAAGAGGGCTGAATATAACACGGAGGAACAGAAACCAAAAAGGGGGACTGAGGAAATTCTGACTGGGTGCCATGATAGGAACGCAATTTGCCAACCGAGGAGGCAAAACGAGCGAGTCTGATTGATATGGAAGGCAAAGGGTGATAAGAATAAAATGCCTTCACGTGCCGCGCTGCAGAAAGGGGGACCGTGGCCTTTGTGGAGCATGCGGCGTAATGTATGATCTGATGCGAAGGCGCCGAGTGAGGCCCGGTGAAATATGCGCGTTACTGGCCTGAGAAAACGTGCGATAAAGCCGAGCTGGAAAACTATCACAGGCCAAGAAAACATTCTCCGTAGGCAGTGTCAACATCGACTAGCCACAATGTATTGTCAACACTTCGGCAATATGATCTCTATCGCAGGCGTTTGGTCGAACATGGATCACTTTGGGAGGTTTTAACTGAAGAAAATGGACTTCAACTGAGTATTATTGTCTTTGTAAAGGCCGCATCGATCGAGCAGCTTGAACATGAACAGCTGCGATGTCTTGCACATAAACGTTAAAAACAAAATGCACCGAAATAACTTCAAAATCAAACAGCTGTTAAATATTCAACATCAAAGTACTGAGCTTCAAAGTTAAATTGTTCCTGAACGATGGCAGGGATTCTTTCATGTAGGGGCGGCCCGACCTCTGTGTAGATATTTATTTTTTAAAGACCGCGCCGAATTCGATGAATAAAATGACTTTTTAGGGGGTCCCTTAATGTTTACGACAATACAGTTGTGAGAGGCAGAACATTTGACTGTTTTATAACACTGCCCCTTGTCCTTTATGATTTCTTTCATATAACGCAAAAAAAAAATTTTTTTTTTATTATTGTGTCAGGGGTTAAATGTCATGATCATTGTCTTATGTTCTACGGTCTTAATATGTTTAACAAAAAAAAAAAAAAAAGGACAGCAGATTTTTGGCGATTTTCAAAGAGCCAATATGGGCCCATAAATCGGCCCCGCCCTAATTTTAATGTACCACAAGAGGGAGCTCGCGCAGCGCCACACTTGGAGAATGGCCCGATTTATAGAAAGAGATAAAAATCGAATGAAATGCTGCATAATGAGCTGGGAAATAATGTGCACGGCATTCTAAAGCGATTTATTTGCAGGAAAGATTATGCGCCGTGATAAGAGTGGAACCAGATTGAGAGTCTCACACAGCTGCAGAAAATCCCACCTGGGAGCGGACCACTCCAACGGCAGCCCATTAGCACTGGTCACACAGTCGCTCTTTCCGCTGGGACTAGCTGAAAGCGCACTCACTATTTAAAGTCCACGGCTGCACATTTTCTCCGAAAGCCTCAGGGGGGGTTCTGGCAAAGGTCCCGGTAATACTCCCCCCCCCTTTCCCCACTCCCACCTCCCCCACCTGCTGCCGGTGAATAAACATGACCATTACCTAGCAGGCCCTCTCCAATGCGGCCAGGTCCGTTTGCAGAGCATTTTGTAGCGCTCCAGGCAGGGTCCGTACACCTGCCGGAAGGCGTAGCCGGCTCGTCTCACGCGGACGTTCTCCATCAGGCCCAAGTAGCGCACTTGATGGCAAACGAGCGACTCTGTGAAGATGTGGGCTGCCTTCTTGTCATTGGGCTTGATGCACCTGGCAAAAAAAAAAAAAGGAGACACGGGGTTTGGTATGACATGTGGTGAATGCAGCACACGCGCTGGGGGATGTACGACTCACCCGGTTTTCATGGCTACAATTAAACGAAACATTCAAAATGTGGGCGTCTCTTCACGACGAACTTTCTGAACCACAAGTCGGGCGAACACACGATTAAGACTTCATTAAGCTGCCGAAATAAGCGAGCGCAGTCGGTCAAGCCTGCAGCGAGAGCCTAAACTCACTCGTAGGACTGATGACAGCGAGTCGTGTCCGCAGAAGGAAAGTACAGCAGAAATTGGAAATGTGGAGCATCATGGTGAGAAGCTGCTGCTTTCGATAGCGATCAACATGACTTGTCCGGATTTCATGATTCCATTCTGGTAGCATATTTTTGGATTTAACACATTCACTCCCAAAGACGTTTTTAAACGTCTTTTCAGACTTGGTCCAGAATTGGCTGGTACTGAATGAGTTTTAAATGTTAACCTCCCTTGTAAATTCAATTGTTCTAAACAATTGAACGTGTACTCTTTCGAAGCTTTCAGAAGTCTCATTTTGGGCTGAAAACGACCCGTTTGTCAAAAGGAGCGCAATGATGAATAATCGGCACGACTCGTGACGGTGATATCATCGGTTAAAAAGAATCGTGCGGGCCGAGCACACACGCGTGCACGCTACCGGATGTAGTTGGGGTTCTTGGTCTGCAGGTTCTTCATGAGAGTGCCCACTGATGCTTTGAACTGGAAGCCAGCAGTGGGCGGTCTCTTCAGGTTGACTTTGGCCGGGTTGCCGTCCGGGAACAGCTGCTTCATCAGACTGTGGTTGGCCTTAAACATGGCTTGGGACAAGTCGCGATACAGGAGGTCGTTGTTCTTGTCCACAAAGCCTTCGACGCAGTACAGCACCTTGACACAAGGGAAGGAAAACAACAACAAAAAAAAAAAAAACGTCCATTACAGAGAATACCATCTTGTGTACCACAGAGGCACAAATGTTTTTGCTTTTTGATAAAAATGGACTATTTTGGGGATTTTTTTTTTAAGTCGTTGAAACTAATCAAGTGATATTTATGGATTTTTGAGGGTCTTTTTTCAATAGTTGAAAGACAAAAGTGATATTTTTTCATCTACAATACAGTTGGGAATTTTTGTGAGTCAAGTTTATTTTCAGTAAATCTTAAGGGAGGGGAAAAAAGGCACTTTTTTTTTTATTATACATTTATGAGTCATAAATGCCTCTGTGAGGGAAACCGTAACTGCCGTGTGATGAAAATGAATCTGACATTGCTGGTCTGCTTCGTATCATTTAAGAAAGCAATTACGAGCGGAAAAGTGGCCCGTGTGGGTCGCCGCCCCGGTACCTTGCCGGCGTAGTGCTGGATACGGAAGCAACTGTGCGGCAAGCTGTGGTCATTGAGGAACTTTGAATTCTTGCTCAGGCGGCTCTCAAAGTGCTGGTGCTCGGCGCAGATGGTGTTCAGCTTGTCGAGGAAGGTCTCGTCCGTCACCGTCCCGGGACGCAGGCACTCCTCATCCAACATGGCCATGATGCCATTTTGGTTCTGGTGGTGTGAAGACATGATGACATCTTTTTTTTTTTTTTTTTTTTTGAGACAGATTTTTAAATTGCTAGAGCTTCGATAGCCCTTTTTCATTCCGGTGCCAGATGAGATCGGCCCCTCCCTCCCCACCAGTGGGAATCTGACTTACATTCTCAATGAGGTCGCAGATAATGGCATTGTTGAAGTATTCAATGTTGGTCCACTCGATGCCCTGCGACAAAAGGAAATTAAGGTCAACGCGACAATGGCTCTACAATAAAGCACACAAGTGATGGCTCGATGACAGTCACAAAAGGAACGTTCCTCGGAACAACCTCTCTGCGCTCGGTTTCCATTACATCTGTAAGCAAATAAGTTCTGTCGGGGGGCGGGGGGGCTGATGTTTTGTTTCCGCGGCGACAACGTCACACATGTCACCAAGCTGGCTTTCAAAGAAAATTCAACCAAAATAATGTGGACCGCTATACCGCAACAACCAATGGGTTGGGAACACGCCTTCAGTTGATGTAAGCGATGTGACAGATCTTCGGAGGGGGTTGGGCGCAAAGAAGGCGTGGCTTATCCCGATGGACCTTTCTCCCGCCGACAGGCCTTGTGGTATTTTCCCATGCTGTACGCTGGAGAGCGGCCAGAATATGCGCCGTCGTGTTTGTAGGGAAGGAGTTGAGGGGGTCACCACTCACACAACGCTGAGCTTTCAAAACAAGCAGATGTTGACGGGCCACGGGGGCGGGGGGGTTACGCTATGCTGGATGAAGAGACCACCTTTATTTCTCACCCTCCACTGGAGGAGAAGGATAGCGAGAGGGTGTCGGCGTGGGACGGATAACGAAACACTGTCAAGCAAGGGGCCTACAGCGATTATGTGATAGAGGCCATTGCCCCCCCCCCCCTGCCCTGCCGTTTGCGAAGATGTTGATTGCGTGTCAATATACAAACTTGCCTCTCTGACGTACTCCTCCTGCTCCTCGCGCAGGGTTAGCTCGATGAAGATCTGCTGCAGCTTCTCATTGCAATAGTTGATGATGAACTGCTCAAAGCTGTTGTCCTGTAGGAGCACGGACAGAAGAGCGCTTTTACGCCTTGACACGTCCCCTTGGTTGCTGTCTAGCGTTTTCAAGATGGTGATTTAGTCGAATTTTAGTCTTTGCGCAACTAAAAGGTCATCCTACACATACAAATTGATGAAACGCAAAGGCTGAATCTGTGCAATAGCCCAATTAGAAAAGCGTTTGCATTTGAAGAATTACGCAGAATTACAACATCGGTTAGGTGACATCCAAGGCTATTTTGCTTCTAATATGAGCAGATTCTAAATGTGGCTACCTCGTTATTGAAAACACACATCGAGCACAATTTAAAGAGTGAACCGCGGCTACTATAAAACTTGTCAAAGCAGATGGGCCCTTACGATAAAGCCATAGACTGTAAGTAACCACCCATAGATGCCGTTTAAACATTTACAGGCAATTATAATCGCGGTCAATTATGAGCCATTGAGGGGGAGCGTCACACTTCCTGGCAGATGGCCTAATTGTGCTACGTGTTGGGTTAGCCATTAGCCGCTACGGCAATAAGCGGGTTTAGTTTAACAGCCCATTGAGCGAAGGACACGGCAAGGTTTCTCAATGACAGGGAAATGGGAACACAGAGCAAAAAAAAAAAGGTCATCTCTTCCCTTTACGGAGAAACCGCAGTCACCTTCACCGCTTAAAAAAAACTCACTCGCGCATTCAATAGCAAAGCAAGGCAAGTGGCAGCAGGCACAAGGCTGGATTGAGAATTGTCCAAATCCACATTTTTGTCACAACAACTTAATTTTTTTCCGGCCCATTCAAGTTATTTCGAGCAAGTATGCTAGCGTTTGCCGTTAGCGGCGTAATCGCTTTAACATACGTGTCAAAATACACATTGAACGGAAACTGGAGTTTTCCTCAACGTAATTGGTATTAACCTGTTGAGATAACGTAACCCCCCCGATAAGAGAGTTTTCGAAACAATACCGAAGAAAAGGGCAATACAAGGGGGGGGGGCACACTCTGTTGGCAATTCAATCAATGACCACAATGTGTGCCATCATCTCTGAGAGGCAGCAACACAATGCAGCCGCTCAATGCAACCTGACTGACTGTGGACGTGTTAAAAAAAAAAAAAAAATCCCCCAGGCCTGATCTACATATTTGATATTGACTGGGTGCCAACAGAGTGCATGTTATATCTCGGCTGATGCAAAGGTTGATTTTACTATTTTTTTGCATCTGGACAGCCACGTGGCCGCGCTGCACACCGGGAGCCCCGCCGATCGTTTTTTAGTGAGCGGCAAAATTAGGAGGATGAGAGCATGCGTCAACAAGCACAGCAAACAGCAGGCTGGTGTTACTTACTGCATTCTGGTGACCGACACACGAGACAACAGGCAAGAGGAGAGGAATGGCTTGAGAGTGAGTGAAGAGAATGAGCAGTGGCATGGCAAAGACATGAACGTAATGAATGGGGGGTGGGGGGGCATTGGCGCAACAAGGCACAGAATATTTATTCATTAAGACCACTCAGCACCTCTCACGCACTCAATAAATGTTGACAAAATGCAACTGGATTGCACTTTGAAGTTCAACTGTACTGTACTCGAAACGGAGACTGCGTTGACGTAATATTTAATTATTTGGATACATTAATCATGTTTTTCATTTAAATTCCTATTTTTTAACCAATTACTGTTGTTGTTTACAGAAAAAATCTGAAGCAACAAGGAAGCAATATCACCCGAAGGAATGATATTGTATCGACCAAACTTTTTGAAGCCAATTCAATTGCTCGTTCAATTGTTGTTTTCCGAAGTTAAAGCAAATGTCTCACGTTGATTAAACACAAACGATAATCAGTCCGCTTTGATGAAGGACCAAACAAATCAGAGGCTGAAATCAAAAGATTTGAACAATTTAAAGTCAAACCACGGCTGTGATCGATTAGCTTGATCATCGATTTGTTGTCGATCAAGCAATTCATTTGGACACCTCGAGCAGAAACGAACAAAAGTTTGAGCCATCCTAACGTGATACAGTTTGAACTAATTCAGTAATTCCTTCGCGTACCACTAGAGGGAGCCTGCCATTTGTAAGTTAAGCGGGACTCCTCCTTCACAACATAAAGACTGGAAAAAAAATGTCTAAATACAGAAATATATGACAGAGAAAAGTTCTGGGTATTATAATGGTAACCCAGCGCGGGAAATTATTTTTCAGGTTTCGACGTAACCTCCGTTGATGTTTCCAAGAATTGGTACGCAAGTCATGCCATGTGTGGCAGTCTGTCACTGACCTGCGGTGACGCAGTCGTAAAGTCTGACTGTCGTTCTATTTCTCGATGCCGCTTGTCGCCTCAAAATGTTATGTTACGGGAAATATTTGTGTGGAAAAAAACGATGCCGCCAAAAGACACATCATCAAAGGGAAACCAGTAAACGCAGCGGGAACAGACTGTGCCTTCCTGTGCTGCGTGACAAGAAATTCTTACGCGGTGCACTTTTCGTTACATTCCAAAGACGCAAGTGGAGGACCCCCGTCACAGGAATTTTCCGCGTCCGTGCAGCGCCCGTACGGGAGCAAGCACGTATCGATCAGTGTCTTCGAGGTCAGTTGGTTTTACTGCGCCCTGCCGATATTCGTGTTGAAATCAACGTGCGGCAAAAGAGGATTTCACTCCCGAGAGCACTAAAGCTGAACTAATCCAATATGAATATGCTTTTATCAGCCCACGGTTGTGGAGATAAGCTCCTCACAGGTATGTCGCCGCTCGCGCGCAGTCGCACAAACAGCCAGGGGCAAAATCCTTTGAAAGCCGATAAAAAATGGATGCGTGGTCAGATTCTGTCCTCATCACACACGGACAGGAAGAGAGACGGGAAAAACAGAAAAGGTTTCGGCTTTCCTACCTCGAATATCTCGAAGCCGTAGATGTCCAGCACGCCCATGACCTTGTGGCGGGTTTTAGTTTGTGCCTGCAGGTGGAAAACAGAGTCAACATTATTTTTCGGGCCTTATGCAGTATTGATTACATCGTCGCTGTCGGGCAGAATCCTTGCATCTCTCAAAACGCTCCTCTTCGGGATTGCCAAAGTGCAGAGTTCAAGTTGGCATTATATCTTATATTGCCATCATCAACACCGTCATATTCGATGGCTAATTTAATGTCGTCCTCCCCACACCCTCCCGAAATAAAATAACTAGCGAACAACTGCAGTTACATCTTCCCAAATTCTTCAAGGTCGTCGAGCTACGAGTGACACAATTAACTGACTAAGCAGTTTAATATGCTGAGATAAATCTGGACGCGATTATATTCCTGACTGACTAGTTGGTTCTGCACCAAAGCATTACAGAGACCCCCCCCCCAAAAAAAAATAAAAAAGTCATCTAAACCAACTATCAAAACTTTAAAAAGTATTTCAACCATCAAGACCTCAGACTCTCCTTCTCGAGGCGACGCAATGCGGATCCCGAGGGACACTTTCAAGTATTCAAGAGGTTCAACATTTGCTCTCAAGCTATTTTTTTTTTTTTTTAAAAACCTTAAAATCCTGAATGCTTAAAAATCATAGACGATGCATATCGAGAACAATAGTTTGTGAAAAAAATGTGAAATTAAGCACATCTGGACACGCAAGGTTCTTATCAGACAGCGACGATATACTGTAAAATCAAACATGGTTACAATGGAAACGTCTTACTTTTATGCTTTCATTGATCCGAGTAACGAGCCAGCTAAACAGACGGCTGTAGAGATTTTTGGCAAGGGCATCTCGAGCATAGTAGGCCTGCAAACAAACAAAAAAAAAGGATCAATATGTTAAGGGAATGAAAAGAACATCAACAAAGTCGTGAAAACAGAACTGGACATCATCCCAGGTCGATTGTAAGCAGCAGTAAGCAGCATATGATCTTTTATTTTAATACAGCAGCTTTATGGAATCCAGATTACACGCACGAGCAACTCGAGTGAACCCGCCGACTTCTCCAATGTGACCCACAAATGAATTTTCCAAGAGGAATACTCCTCATTTATAATTGAAAGCTTTTGCGTGCCAACGCCGACATGGACGCGAGGTGGCGGCTCGAGAAACACGGACGAGGGAGCCGCCTGGAGCGTGCGGCGGAACACATACCGGGAGGCGGGGCTTGCGAATCAAAACTTCCCTTCTCACCTGGGCCACATTCAAGGTCGTCGACACCTTCTCCGATTTGGCCTCAACCGTGCGGTAGCTGAAGGCCCTTTCCAGCACCGTCTGCTCGATCCCCAGCAGCTCACACATCTCTTTTAAATCTGCACATCAGATAAAATGGAACACATGCTCAAAAGTGCAAACAGACACCGCAAGCATTCGGAGGAAATGGGCAAATGTTGACTTGAAAGTCAAGGCATGTTTTTTTTTTTTTTTCAGTTTCCTCCGAGGCAAGAAGCTGGTTTGGTAAAGAATGTCAGCTTGTTTATCAGCCACTGATTCCACCCCGATATGCTTGTGCGCAGCCATTTTTGCAGATAAGAGATCTTTTGCGTTTTCCATACACAGCATCTCCCTCGCTGGTCACGAGGATGCTTTCACATTTTTTGAACTTCAGCAATATAGCAGTGAAAACCAACTTAGTCGACCGATTTATAAATAGCAGTTATGAGAGGCTTGTGTGCACAAAGAATCATTCAGAATATTCCAAAAACAGTCAGTCTGGTGGACTACAAATGAATGTGTGTCCTGGATTATTACTTTTTTGCTTCCTGAAATGTCATATGGCAAAAAGTTCTTTTTTTTTTTTTTTTTTAACAGCTGACATAGCAAATTCATATGGTAACATAATTAGGGAGCAGAAATAATGTGCCATTTTTTATTGAGTCAAGAGGGGGGGGGGGCAGTGGCTTAACAGGTGGTCATCCGGTAAGTGCGGGCGCGCCAACGATCCAACAACGGCGACAGTGGCGGCGGCCACTGCCCCGTCGCCACATGCCTCTAAACATCCATGAACCCGTACCGTTTTTATCTTTCACGCGGCTCTCGTCGGCGCCGTTGCACCGTGACTCGGGCTTGAACTCGATGTTGCCGAGCTTCAGGACAGCCGCCACGAGCTCCAGCACCGACTGTACCTCGTCCTCCATGAAGCCCACAATCTGCATCGCGTTCTGAGGACGGGAAATAAAACCGGTCGGATGAGGGAGGCTTTAACCGGAACAGAAGGCGAGCCATAATTCCACGGCGACGAGTATCTGCCACCGCATATCAGAACAACACGTGGCTGAAACCAACGATGCGAAAAGATGAATTTGATATCATGACAATGAGCGATCATTTAACCACATTTGGCTTTGGGGTGAATTGCATACGGCTCAATGGAGCTTCACTTTACTTCATTTCCAGGATGAGCTTCAGTTTAATGTTCACCAGTTTTACGGCCCCGCTAGAGGATGTTAACTGCCAGTCGGTTATTTCAAGACGATGAGGAGAAATCAGACCAACCTCGATTCTTGTACTTCTTTGTAGAATAGGCAATTAGGTGTCACGCCACTGAAAAATAACTGCTGCACTCACTTTGACCGTCCTAAAGCTGGCGGCGTCGTCGAGCCCGTTGACCACGGCGGAATCGAGGCTCAAGTAGTTGTACTTGCTGAAGTCCCGGTTCAGCTTCAGTTTCTCTGTTACACACAAAAACAAGGGGGCGGAAATTGGGAGCTGACGTTGGACTGGACGCATTCCGATTGATTACTGAGAGCCAAGTGACGTTGGGGAATCAATCACTTGAGATATTAGTCGGAGCTCAGACATGGCATGTCCAATTCAGACAAACATCAGCTTGAACAACAGAGGAGCCGTTAGCTTAGCATGCTAATATAACGTTTGTTTATATTATTTATATATATATATATATCTATATATATATATATAGATATATATACACACACACACACACACACAAAACCAAAAAAAAAACCAAACAAAAAAAACAGATACTGTTTTTGCATACTGATTGAGAACGTCGGAAAATGCACAAATGTGTGTGTGTGTGAGTGTGTGTGTGTGAGAGATCTGGAGTCAATGGCCATTATGTTGTTATCCTGTGCAGGCCATAAAAACAATGGCGCTCGATCGCCGGAAAAGCTACAACAAGGAACAGGTTTCACAGCCTCCCTTTGTTCTCGGCGCTGTTTGTAAAGCAGGAAGACGGTGCCATGAATGCGCCCGGCGAGTGTTTGTCCAGCTGCGCTATGCTCGCGGGTGCTCACGCCACATCTTGGTCAAACGACATGTCTTTTGTATTCACAGAACAATAAAAATATAAGAATAAAGAATGAAAGAAATTCAAAAGCTACTGGGGAGGACACACGCACACCCTCGCCGTCTAATATGCAAATTGAAGTCACGAAAAGAGGAAGCTGACATGACAGACTCCAGTTTAGTCTGAAGAGAACATCTGGCTACCTAAGGCCTCATTTATAAGGTGCATGAATGCGCTCCCGTTTATTTGCCGGGCATCTTTTTGACATTCATTTGGGGGTCCTTAAAATGTCCGATTTCATGTGCGGCGCGCTTCAAACCTACTGAGCATATCATCAGAAGCGCCGGACAAGAGCTGATAAAAGACGTGGAAGTTCCTCTCCCCTCGCGGCTGTTTCACCACACGGGACTTCTCCAGCAGATCTGAAAAAGTGTCGGAAAAAAAAACCCAAATGCAAATAATGAGTTAAAAAAAAAAAAAAAAGAAGGGCACAATATCAGACATTATTCTTTGGTTACAATGAATACGTGGTTGAGCGGCCTAAAGTTGACCACGGAACCTGCGTTCCAAAAGTATTGGTGCAGCGAGGCAAACGCTTTCTTTTTGCTGCGCACCCAAACAATTTGGCTTGACATGAAAATGAATGAGACAGATTTTCTCAGGGTGTGGACGCACTGGAACTCTCCAGCTCCTCCTAGACAGTACGTCCCGTGTCGTCTAGTTGCTACGGCAACCGAGGCAATGTTTTGTAAGCGTTTTCCTGTTTGTGCTGCACTTTGCAGCGTACGTGTAAGAAAGCGCGTAAAGCCGTCAGCATTCTCAGCGCAGTTCCCCGTTGCGTGTGAACAGCGCACGATTAAAAAAAGGAAGCCGTCATCTGGTCACCGCATTAGAGCGAGCATGATTTAATTAGAGGCCGTCCGCGGAGATGTGCGGCTGCCCCCCCGCAGGATGACGGCATTCCCTTGCTCGGGTTCGATGTGAGCCAAACGTATATTGAGGATCAAGTCATTTTTCGTCGCTTTCCTTAGCCCGACCTCATGTTTCGTTCGGACCCTATTTCAGGAAAACCAGGCACGGTTCTTTGAGGGTACAAAGTTGCTCTTTTGTGGCTCAGGTGGTTGGCAAGCAGATGTGGCGCTGCCTTGTTCCCGGAAGGCGGGTTCGAGCTGGTGTTCTGCAGTGCAAGGATGAAGTCAGCGAATGGCTAGCGGTCCGCATCGCTCAATGAAGTAGCGAGCGTATTACAGCACGACTTGCGAAGTGCGGTGAGAAACAGAAGCTGATTTTGTTCCACTCGCTTTTTTTCCCTGTAGTGGCGACTTTGAGTAGCGAGCCGTTTATGTGCGGGATGATGGCCACTTGATTCAGGATAGCGCGGCGTGTTTTTGACCAAGTCATATCTCGCATTTAAAAGAGGCTTCTGTGCTTTGTTGTTGGAAGAGCCAAACGTATTTACTGGGGTCAAGAAAGCTAGCAACCGTGTACAAGTTGTCTTTTATCGTACTCGCCGTCAGCGCGTAGCCATCGGATGTTTGCGTTTGGAAACGTGATCGAGATCATTTGGCGAGAGAAAAGATGTTCTCTGCATACACACAACACCGACGTTTCTGATCGTATACCGCTACCATCCCAATCCTCTTCCTTATCGCGGCGGCCATTTTAGAAGTCAAAAAGCAGCTATTGTAATTCAGAATAACAAAAAGTGACTCATCCAGTAGGTGGGCACCGCGAGGACGGGCGCAACGCAGGTCGAGAGCCATTCGCTGACCTGAATGTGCATCGCCGGCACCCACGGCCCCGTGAATCACTGAGCTCAAGCGCATCAATAATAGAACGAGCGACGGGCTGACGGCAACGAAACGCCAAGTGTGAGGCGCTGCGCATTGACCACAATCCAGTTAGCATGTCAATTCCACCGTGAGCATCCAAACCGGTCTGACGGACGGCGAGAAAATAGAGAGCCATTTTGAGGACACAAAACTCGACCCGATGCATCGCTTCCTTCAGAAAAGCCGCGTTGACCCCCGTGCGCTCTAATAGTCGGCCGCGCTCTTTTCCGAAGAAGTCACATGTCCGTGGATCTTCCTCACACTCGACTCCCTTGCACCGGAATTAACAGAGAGTCACTTGTGCCTCCGGCATAAGCTCCCCTTCGTTGTTTTCTGTGACCTCTGGCGGGGAATCCGGCGCAGACAAAACAATGTGAACAGAGGCAAGATAAAAAAAGCAAAACAGAGACAAGAACTGAATAGGGGAGAGTCACAGTGCGGAGGGGGTGTGTGTGTGTGTTTTGTTCAGTCTGGGCAGGAGATTGGCTTCAGTGTGTGTGTGTGGGGGGGGGGGCGTCTGTGCAGTAGTTTTGATGAACTGCCGACATGTTTCTTCTTTGTATGGCATGCACATTAACACATGAAGGTTTCTTTGCGCGACTTGAGAACGAGGGCGGGTTATACTTACAGTTGCTGATGACTCCACCGAGAGGATCTCCTTTGAAGTCAAACTCGATGTCCATGTACTTTCCCTGTAGGCCACAGGTCACCGGTTACAAAATGACAGAGTTGGATCTACGCACGCCTCTCCGTTCGAGGCAAAAATAAAAAAAATAAAAAAAAACGGGGCGGGGGGGGCACCATCTTGGACCTCCAACTTCAGTCGATTGCTCGGCCATAATTAGGACTAAAAATGCTATTCCGGGTCCCTCCGATTCAAACTCGGAAGTGGCGCAGACGGCCCTGTGACATGAATAGCTGGTGGTCAGGAGCGAGCAAGCTTAGCGTCTTAAAAGACGGTTTCATGACCATCCGTGGGTGTTTGATGACCCGCTATCCGGTGGCATGTCATCACGACCTCGTCTGAAGGTTTAGGCCAAGGTTACCTAAATATAAACAGATCAGGGACATAATCCGTTATAATACTCCTGCATGGTTACGACTCGGGTCTGAGCACTGGCATGATTTCATAGCGACGATGGAGATTAGCGATTGAATATTGCACGGCGACTGCATCGGGGTTGAACGGCCAAGCTCGCCTCAAAGGCCGCATCCAAAAGACCTCGATGAGACGCGAGGCCTCTCCAATCGGCCGCTATTTTATGGGAAAAGCGCGTACAAAAACAAAGACCGAATGAAATAGTTGTCTTTTCAGTCGCAAAAGCTGTGCAATAACCCCATTTGCCGTTTAAATCCAAGCGATCTGTGCAGGCGTGGGCTGCGTGACCGTGCGGCAACTGGGCAGGAAAACAAAGGAATGACTTTTTCCATTCATGGAGGGGAAAAAAAAGTCAAAAGCCAAAGTCAAATTCAAAGTCAAAAAGCCATCTCACGTGTCGCTTCAAAATATCACAACCGTTGCAGGTCTGCTGCTGACGCGAAGCATAGGGGAGTGTGTTTTTCCAAAAACAGAACTGTACGGGAAAAGCTGTTACCGCGGAGACCGCACCATTGGTGACACTCGTACGGATGAATCCCATTTCAAACCCGATCAAGACTTATCTGCTGCAGACGGACACTCGCCGGGCTGAAATGATCCCATTTAGCAATGTGCAATCCAAATGTGGTCACGCTGAAGTCCTTCAGTTAGTTAGTTCACATGCATGAACGGCGGCGGTTTGAGGGGTTAGAGTCGAAATGCTTTTAAGGACACTCACAAATCTGGACGAGTTGTCATTCCTCACTGTCTTGGCATTTCCGAAGGCTGAAAAATCGGAAAATAGTGGCAAGCCATAAAATACAAATACAGCACGTCAAAAGGCATGACAACACAAAAAAAAGGCCCACAAAATTTCGACGAAAATCATCATGATACGAGACACAAAGCCTTTGATCTGCTCAATGTCCAGCATAATTCTATCTGGATGATGTCAAGGAGTTGGATTTTCCAGGCTTGGATAGACGTGAACCTTGTCATCACGCCACATTCAGGTCTCATGACTTCGTGTGAATTTACGTGAAATAGAAACAAACGCTCATTGAAACGACTCTTATCCTGTCGTCATTTGTGTTTGTGTGACAGCAATAACGCGGCATTATTTGCAAATTTATTCCTCTTAAAGCCAAAGCCTCTAAACCGAAACGCTCTCTTTCTCTCTCTCCCTTCGCATCCATACCAACAATTCTTCGTGAGCGTGTACGCTGTTGGCAAAGTACATTTTCGAATGCGGCGGCTCCGCAGAAAGATAGCGAGCGCAATTCAAGGCTAGCAGGATGTGAGTTAGCATTGAGTAAAAAAAAAAAAAAAAGCAAAGAATATAACAGGTCACGTCCAAACAACAAGGCTAAACAGTGCCTCGTTCTCTCCTGCCCACCGACGTCCTCTCTCTTGTTACCTTCACGCACCCCTCTCCCCTCCCCCGGAAAATACAGCCGGCCACGTTCCAGCTCGACTTGTAGCGATGAGATGCATTTTGTACACTGTACATGCGATCGCTTTGAAGCACCTGGACACGAACAAAACCTGAACGTTAGGCAAATCACATTCAAATCAAGACTCGGTTTTCACACAGTTGACATGTTTCCTCCTTTCGTATGTTTTGGAGGGAGATACATTTCTCACGGCGTGAGGGGAATTCGACTGTCACAGGAGCAACCTTTGCACCCAAATGGGAGCAAACAACAGGGTGAACGAAAAAATATTTACAAATGCAGCATTTAACTCATTCACTCCCAAAGACGTTTTTAAACGTCTTTTCAGAGAATTGGCTGGTACTGAATGAGTTTTAAGGAGGACCCAAGATTTATTTATTTATTTTTAAATCTAAGCAGCAAGAAAAGTCGAGATTTAAGGTGCTGCCTGCTGGTCGGTGGCGAGTTCTAAATATAGTTGTGCAAAAGGAAAGCATCATTGTTCAGTACACATGTTCTGGATTATGAACCCACCCCCAATAAACAGTTGATCTTTAAAGTTGAAGCAAGAGAGTGGTGTTCTTTGAGCTCCGCTTGATTTGACACAGACAGTCCATGACGGACGGCGCTTGTGGTTCACTCTACTCACCTTCCAGCACAGGATTGGACTGCAGTAACTGTTCCTTGACCTTATTCACCTCCTGGCCCTTCCCACACACCGCTGCCACGTATGACATCACCAGCTTACTGGCCTCTGCAACAACACGCACGGATAAATATCAAGTCTACTCTGTCGCCAGTCGTGCGTTATCCCTTCAATCTCTCAGCCACCTTCAAAAAAATAAAATAAATCCCCCTTTACGCCATCCCCTCTGACAGAAGAAAGCCTCAATGCACAAAAACACCCTCCTTTCCACTTTTCGGACTATTACTGCATCGTGAAAACTGCCCCCAATGAGACGCCAGATGACGCCGTGTCGAAAAAGGCATTTGGAGCGAAAGGAAGGCGACGAGCTCCAAACCGCGTCTTGTGTTGCGGACTGGCGATGGGGATCATCCCTCCTCCTGGCCAGCGAGAGGAGGGTGACCTAGAAGCGATGACGCGAGGGGATGTGCCAGCAAGCGATAGCAAGGCGCTTGACAACCGCTGGTGGGACGCATCGCTAATGAGCCTGGCAGGTCATCAAAACGCTGAGCCGGGGGGAGGCGGAGGCCAAACATGCGGGACCCAAACAGAGTCAATGACGATGTTCGTCATCACCATCGTCATGCCGTGCACGTGCTCGCAGCGTCGACGTTCCTATGCGCAAGACATTTCCTTTTCCATCGTGTCATTGTTTCACGATATCGACAAGCTCTGAGAAGGCCTGAGAAAACCCCGAGCACCACATCGGCGCCGATGACCCATATTGCTGGAGCAGGCCCGTTTTTGATGGCCTTGTTCCATTACAAAGCTTCAGGGACGACGAGATTACTAAAATCCACATTTATCGCCTCGATTTAGCTGGCTGGCATTTTGGGAAAGGGCTTTTTTTTTTTTTTTTTATATATCAGCGAGAGCACCTCAATAAAACCCAGATCATTATGCAAAAACATTCTTGATACCGTCTTGGGCTGCGCTTACTGAAACATCACAGAAGACCATGGAAACTGCAATTTATTAGTTTGAATTTTTTTTTTTTTAATACTTACTATCCAGTCCATCAATTTTATCCACAGTGTGCTTTTTACTTTAAAACTTTTTTCGTGTCCGATTTTGAATTTCAAACAACATCAATATAGCGGATATCTACTCAGAGAAGCGGTTTTGTACGTTTTGTACGATTCTTGAAAAAGAAAAAAAAAAAATCAGCACCATCCCGATGCCTTGCTGATTTGATCTACAGGTGAGGCCTCCCGCACAGGAGCAATTCCCGTCTACTGTTGCCTTTGAGCAGATTTTGACTATGCCTTGGCCAGATCTTTTTTGAGCATCAAGATGAGCTGATAAGGCACGTTTTTACATGTACCCAACCACTTACTGGCCTACTTGGATTCAAGACACTCTCTTCTTGAGTTTTTTTTTTTTTTTTCTTGGAGTCATGAGCTCAACAAGAACTGTATGGGCATGTGATTGCGATCACCAGTTCCAAACTATTGGGGCAAAGAGTCCAAATTAAGAATCAAAGTCAAAATATCTCCCATTGACGTTTGGGTAAAATTCAGCAAAAATGTAAAAAAAAAAATAAAAGATCAAAAGTAAATTGTGTCTTACCAGTCTTCCCCGCCCCGCTCTCCCCTGTAATGAGGATACACTGGTCCTTGTCCTGGTCTCTGAGTGACCTGTAGGCCTCATCTGCCAAAGCGTAACTGCAAATGGGGGAAAAAGAAAAAAAAAAACGAATTAGAATCCAACAGCGGCAAGACTTGCCTCTTGACATAACCAAACTGTTGCAAACACATGCATACGATGCACAAATGATTTGATATAAAAAGCCACTATTTCTCAGCAGGAATGATTATTATTCGTGTCTGGATTTTGTCCATTCGATCATCATCGAGTAAAATCTTAAATCTCTCAACTTTCTGGGAAGGCGAAGAGTGAAAGAGGTCGAGAGAAACGTCAAGAGTGCCGAGTCAGGCGCAACGGCGTCCAAGCTAATCAATAGCGTGTGAGTAAATTGCAGAATGAGGTCACATCTGTAAGACAGACCCGTCGCTTTATTTAGCTGCATTGTAGAGGCTCCGTTTAAAGTTCAGCACTCGCTAATAATTCCCAGATTGATCTTCAAAATTTAACGGAGGCACGGCCGCTTCAGACCGGGCAGTGTTGAAGTCACAACTGGTTTTAATCCCGATGAGAAATCGAACATGTGGATGTGAACTTCTATTGTGCAGCCGTTGTCTGATTTGTCCTCATGAAAGCCAGCAATGGCGGAAATTATTCAAACATTGGCACGCTCAAATCCAACCCAAACAGAGAAAAACGAAAAGCCAACTTGGCTTTCCTGAACTATTATTGGATATATTGGGGAATTGGGAGGGAATTAATAAAAAAACTTGGAATTTTGTCATTTGTTCGCATGCTCCGGTTGCTTTTCAACCTACGAAACTGCGTATGATGGCTTCATTCACAAATTCAGCTGGACATGGGAAACGCGGAAACTCCCTCCCGACAAAAGCAACACAATCTGTTTTTCCTTCGGCACCCTTTACAGCACACGATGTTGTGATTTGTGTTTCAGCGCCCGATTTCACAAATCAAGATGGACGCCGACCCCCCCCCGCCCCCCAGAACCAACCCTGGCTGTAATCCAAGCCCGCACTAACGTAGCATTCTTCAAGTCACCATGAAGTTTGCCATCATGGCAGGATGTGTTTTGTTTTTTGTTTTTTTGAGGGGGGGGGGGCCCGATGGGTTGTAAGCCTTTGACCACTCGCAGTGAGAAAACCATGTCATCAATTTGTTGGGGATTACTTTGAAATTTGGCTCTGGCCAGCTGGGTTTAACCTGCCTGACACGCTTCAAAGGATGCATCTCATCCAAATAAAACCCGAACTCCGAGTTGAGTGTCAAAAAAAAAACAAAAAAAGTTGACTGCTAATCGACGTATTGGGATTCTCCCCATTGGAAATCCACTTTGTCGACTACAATGGCGCAAACTAATTTACTGCGACTCGTGACGCTTGAGGTGTACATACGCTTCAAAGGATGCATCTCATCCAAATAAAACCCAAACTCAGAGTTGAGAGTGTCAAAAAAAAAAAAAAAAAAGTTGACGGCTAATCGACGTATTGGGATGCTCCCCATTGGAAATCCACTTTGTCGACGAGAATGGCGCAAACTAATTTACTGCAACTCGTGACGCTTGAGGTGTACAATCCATGCACAGTTGTGTTGCGCTACCATGATTACAGTAGCTTGACGAACACGTGAAATTTCAGCTCCTCGCTTCGCCCCAGGATGCATTCTCACTAACTAGAGGTGGTTTTAAACATCAGTCAACATCGAAGCGAAGCGCACTCGACCAGGCCCGAGAGCGGAAGTTGGGCTCGGCGCTTCCCCCTTCGCGTCAGACTACGGGGGCTATAATTTGGATTTTACACGTGGCAGCGGTGAGCAAAAAAAACACAAGTGCGTGACATCAGCGCTGAGAAAATAATTCGGTCGGCTCTCAACTCAACTTCTTGGTGAGCAGGAAAGCAGGGCTCTGGCAACTGCCTTTTTAGGACTCCCTTTTGCAAACTGCGTTCAGGGCGAGGCTAAAGTGCATCCCTTCTCATGGACGTCAGCCATGGACATTAACGCTCAAATTATAAACGAAGAGCACAGTTGCAATGCCGTTTAATTTCGAGTGTAATACACCTTTTTGGACAAGCACTACACGGGACATTCAGCGGGTTTCTATTTTGAGTCGGCATCAGGAGAGAAGCCCGTGATTTCCGAGCGATCAAGGCTTCCCTGCCAGGCAGGAAATCCGCCTGGCCCTGTTGCAAAACAACTCCTTCCGAAAGGCCAGGTGGACCAAGAGGCTGATCGAACTAAGCCTAAAAACACACATACACACCCACGCGTGCACGTGCGAGAAGAGACGGTGGGCAGCGCAGCTGGGGTGGGCGGCCAGGCGGGACACAGAAGATGTCGGGTTCCAACACATGTGGCCCAGATGTGATGACATCGTGTCGGCGTAAAACAGGTGGAAAGAAGAACAGGCTACAAAACAGCGTCAAAGACACACGTGCAGATGTGCTTCTACTTTTTTTTTTTTTTTTAAAAGTGGGGCTCCTTACTTGACTCTACATGTGTGGTTCTGCTAACACGTCCTGGGACATACACGAAAGAAAACTTGTGGGTGGGGATGTGGTGGAACTGCACATTGACTTGGGGCGGAGAGATTTTGCACATTAAACCCAAAAAAAAAGTCGAGATGAAAAATGACTGCAGGGTTTACTGAATGTGACTGAAAATCTGAGTCATGAGATTTTATCGAGTAATAAAGCACATGGATGAAACCTCACGTCCTGGCTATGCAATATACTTGGAGCTAGTGGTAGTGTGTGTGTGTGTGTGTGTGTGTGTGTGTGTGTGGTTGGGGTGGG